AAGCAAAATATATTGCTGCTACAGAGGTATGCAAAGAAATGTTATGGATGAAAGAATTCTTACAAGAATTGGGGCTGAAACAGAAAAATTATGTGATGCATTGTGACAGCCAGAGTGTCATCCATTTGTGTAAGAACCCAATGTTTCATTCCAAGTCAAAGCATATAGATGTCAGATACCACTGGATTCGAAATGTATTAGAAGAGAAGTAGTTGCAGCTTCAGAAAATTCACACAGATGACAACGGAGCAAACATGTTGACAAAAACTTTATCAAAAGAAAGACAAGAGATATGCCGATAGTTGGTCGGCATGGCTTCACATTGAGGAGTCATAGGACAGCCTCCTTTATGAGTTGAAGGGGGAGGTTATTGGGTTGGTAGCCCACAAATTCAGCCCATAGTGGGCTTGGGCAACCCACAGCTCACCCCCTCTTAACCTAACCTAATTAACATTAGGGGGGGTGTGGTGATTACGTTTTAGAGGCAGAAAAAGGCATAAATAGGGCAGCAATGTGGGAGAAGGCAACAGCCACGAGATTCCAAAGAAAAGAAAGAAAACAAGGCAGAAAAGGAAGAGAAAAGAAAGGAAGAAGATAAGGACAATATAGAGAGATTGTTCTCAATCATCTAGTAGTGTTCTAATCTCAGATTAGATCAAATCTACAATAGACTCTTGCTGTGATTACTTGGAGAGGTTTTAGATATCGTGAACAGTGACGTGATCCTTGTATCCCAATTATTCTCTTGTGATTGTTGCTAGGATTTAGGGCAAGAGATTGAGATTTATATATTCATTATTCTCATAGTGGATTATCTCTAGTTTGCCCCGTGGTTTTTACCCTTCACATTGAAGGAGTTTTCTACGTATATCTTGGTGTTCTGTTTAATTATGCTTTCATTTAATTCTGCTGCGTATTATGATCTTCTAGTATTTATTCATATACAAAGATTATTCCGTTTTATATCCCCATCACAATGAGCTGTCACAAGAACCATCCATTAAACCTTAGTTTATATGTATAAGCTCTTCGTGCAGTGCAGTGGCTCAGCGTGATAATGACCATGTGAGTAGGGGAGGCAATGTAACTCGAGGCCAACCTGCTGTCTCTTGTCTTCATGTTCTATCGTCTTATTGTCTTCTGCAATCAAAGTTTTTAGACATGGAGCTCGTTGAGACTCAACATCCAGAGATCACTCTGGCTGCACATCTCTCCATTTCAGCTCCTCACCTGCAGCACTGGGAAGGATCTGTGGGGATTCTGATTACAGTCAAAATAGTGGTCAAGTGAGGACAACATGCAAGACTGTTGAACTCCATATTTCTACAACTTGTAATGGATCTAACCTGGTGGGAGATTGGCCTTCCAGAGTATTTATTTCACCCCTAAATGCTTTACATGCAGTTGGCATATGCTGCTGTTCCATTGATTCTTTAGGCTATCAAGTCAGAAAGAAAGCTTGCTTATTCTTTTTAACTGTTATTAAGAGAATCAAGAGCTGCAAATAAACGACGACCAGTACGTGCATTCTAACATGTTGTTAGAGAATGTCAAGCTGTAGATTCTACTTCAGATACTATAAATATCCACCAGGACGAGCCAAAGGAACCATCTCGATCTCCATCTCTCGCTTTCTTTGCGAGGTTTGAGTTCCCTCATGGCTGCTAACAAGTCTGCTGTTCTTATGCTTATTATCCTTCTAGTGGCTCTCACTGCCGAGGGCAGACCGCTGAAGGAAGATGAGAAGACCAGGACCAGAATGTGCTACAGATGCTTAACGCAAATTGACGCTAGCGGTGAAGGGAAGGTAGAGGGCACCATTGCACCCTCTGCGGAGAAGGGCAACAGCCCAGGGCTGTTGGTGGGCAGGGAAGATGTTCGACCAACGAACCCAGGTCACAGTCCCGGTGTTGGCCACTCTATCGGCAACAAGGGCGTGGACAAGAACGTGTGAACGAAACCTGATTCGTTTGCGATATCTGTACATAAGTTTTGTCATTTCTATTCTTCTTCTTCTTCTTCTTCTTCTTCTTCTTCTTCTTCTTCTTCTTCTTCTTCTTCTTCTTCTAGGTTTGCCTTTTCTTTATCTGCATTGTGTTGTTTCTTCATCATGGCTATTTCATTCTATCTTTTCGTTGGTTGTTTGAAGAAAGAGCTTCAATGAACTTCCCAGGTATTAGTTCTCATGCACTCTGTAAGCATGCATGGCAGCAGACTTGGGTGGTATTTCTCACGTACGTAAATCGATGCTGAATGCTTAAACTTGATGATGCTTATTCCAATCAGACATAACATAAAATGTAATGCTATTCAAGTGAATGGCATGATCAACACCAGTGGCCATGCCAGATCAAGCTGCACACATCTGCCATTCGAGTAATGTTGATGCAGAAAGCAAGACAGCTAATGACTGCAAAGCTAAGTTCTCTTTTCTTTTATGACAAGTATGCAGTTCCTGGACCTGAGGAACCAACACAGCTGACAGAAACCTTCGGTTTGAACTCACGTGGTTCCAAATTAATTTATGATTTGCGGTCTTCCCACTGCTCAGATTAATTTGCATTCTGTCTCAGTTTTGTTCTTTGGAATTTATAGGACGCCATCTTCCGCAAGACAAACTTGAGTTGGGGTTGGCGGTTGCCACGTGTTTCTACCTTCTCTTTTCTCGATGAGTGTTCATCTCCCCTCCCTCGAAGAGAAACTGTGCATATAAACAATGTTCCCAAGTTGGCGTAGGCTCAGAGTAACGTGCATTGGAACTTTATAGTGGCAACTGGTGGCTGTACTTTTATGGACTATTAGATTCGAGATTGTGCTGTATACCTTGAGATCTGTATGCATAAACAAAGGATTCTATATGCTCCTAAATGTTTAAGGTGCTTTGTTGGATGGGTGCTTTGTTGGATCCTCAAGCTCAGCCTTACGCTGTATGATACCTTTTGCCAGTTAACATTCTTTAGAGCAAGTGCTGCAAGGCTTAGAATACGTTATCAAGACAGTTCGCATAAGTACGGACCGCAGAAGACGCTAAGCATGGGTGCACGTTGTGCGTGAATCATGATCTGGATCTCTTGAGAGGAATATTGATTGTTCCTGCATGGGCGTGGGTTGGGTGTCTGCTATGGTAATATGGTCCCATTTCCTGTGAAACGAGTTTGTAAGTTACACGGAAGATGATGGCATAGTATTGTGTACTTGCCTTTCTTTTAATTTATCCCTTAGTATTGAGATATTAATCCAGGCTTGATGACGTCTTGAATTTTTCATGCATTTCAATATTAACTAAACTAGGGATCTATCTATATTAGCTTTTATTACAAGTTAAAAGTCACATTAAATCGAATGATGGGCTTATATCTCAATCGTCGCACTTGTGTTGTGTTAGAATCGCTGGTCCACTGAACTAAGGAAGCAGCAGCAGCACAAGGGAGGGAGAAGAATAATAATCTCTTCTTCTTACTCTTTTGCTCATTGTTCTATATATTATAATCATGTGAATAAGTATTTCTCTAACAAATTAGTTGTAAACCCAACAGAGCCATCAGATTTCTTTAAGTAACACCAATTTAAGCTGGAATAGCCTTTTGTTCTTACAACATCCAGTTGTATAAGGATTACATACAATTTGCACAGAAAATATGGATTTCCTCTGTCAAAAGAAGTACAATAATAATACATTACTACAACCTATTCTGATATACAATTTACAACTGACATCTGTCAGTAAAAGGTTTCAGCTGTTCTTTTGCTGGCGGTACAACTTCTCCTCAACACACTAGGCTTAAGCTTAGATGGGGTAACCCAGCCGGTATCTCTACTCCTACCGCAGTCTGTTAGTTTCCTACACTGGTTAGTTGTGTCAGAAAACAAAATGGGAGAGCCTCCATCCTGCAAATCCCAAACCCTGTCATCCACAACACCATCTGCCTTATAGCTTGCAGCTTCAGAGGAATGATTCGAGTACAAAGAGGGGCTCACGGAACCATCCACGTCATTCGATAATCTTAAACTGCCATTCCAACTCTGACGATCCAAGTCGCCGAATATGTACTCCGAGTACTCATCAGTGCTCGTAGAGTTCCTTGTGCTTTCGGTGCTGCAGGAAGCTTCGTCTGAGCAGCTGATGAGGGAAGAACTATCACTCGAAGAATCCGACTTGGGGACACAAAATATTCCATTGAGGAAATTATTAGGTTCGTAACTGAAATGGTATCCGGTTGTCCAGTTGGGTTCAGCTTGGTTTCTATGGTGGGCAGATGGTAAATCAGACATTGCAGTTACAGCATTCGAGCTCGCTTTCTCTCCGTCAGAACCAGAACAAAACACTTCCTTTGACCTGCTTCTCTTACTCACTATTTGGTCTGGGGACAAGGTGCTACTTATCAAGCTTGGGGGATGTGGTGAGCATCTGATGGGGAAAAAAAAGAGTTCAAGTTAGTAGCCTCGATTATGGCTAAAAATAATATATGGGAAGCAATATCACCTAACACTTACCTAGCATAAAGAAGCATATATGCATTTTTTGATAATACTGTTTCAAGATCCACTGGTTTTACCTGCATTTGTCATTAACATGGGTTTCAGTATTAAATTGTTGGAAATGTAAATGTCAGTTGTGTGACTTGGTTAATACTCAACTGAATTAACATGCGACAAAAGTTTATGGACGATTTCCTACAGCAAAAAAAAAAAAACACATGTCAAAAAAAGAATCATACCGTGCTGTCATCAGTCTTGTACCATTTTCCTTGTCTATTCTTGACGTAACACACATAGTGACCAGAAAAAGAAGCATTCATGACATCCAAGTGAACCACCACTGCATAAAGCTTGTACATTGGAGATTTGTCATTGGATCCATGCATGTAAGGTGCTAAATCAAGGTACTCTGGAAAACAAACTGCCTTGTTGAGTTTGCCAAATTTTCCAGACTGCAGGGCATAGTTAAAAACATGTCAAAACAAAATCAATTGCAGTAGCAAAGAATTGTTTCTATATTGAACAAATTAGTGACCAAATTTGTTCAGCTAAGAGTTACCTGAAAGCGTTTTAAGGCGATCGTAAGGATATTAGGAGCATCTACTATTGTCAACTTCTTTTTTGCACGCTCATATGATTTGCATCTGCCAGGGTGTCAAATGAGATACAAGTACCTCATGGCAAAATAGGAATAGTCTACAATAATAAATGTGCAGAGAAGATAGGACAATATGTAGCAAAAGAGCATATGAACATTTGTAAATAGGTTTGAGCACATGCACTGCATATGATGCACACAAACACAAAAAGATGAAATGGCTTTGGAAAAAATTGTTGAGTTAGCTATCCTATGCAATGCACTTTTGCTCAGTGATTTGCCCATTAAAATATTTTCAATAATGATGCCTGCAGCGCAAGGAGATTATCAAAATTGTCAATATCATCTTTGCTTCAAAATGTAAAAGATACAAGAGGGCTAGGGGTTTGTGACTATCGGGAACCAACATTTTCCACATTATACATACCAGACAAAAAGGGAAAAAATAAATTAGTGCAACAAACACACACTAGGACTCCACTAAAGACATATTTACCAATAACATACGAAATCAAAACTGTAGATACACATGATATGGATCTAGTTGGTAAGAAGTATCTTGATGTCCTCAAGTTTTTACATAATAAGACTGTAGAAAATAAAACTGCAAACTTCAGTTAAGATATGAGGCAGGATTCATTTTGAAGAAGAAACTCCCATGAAATCAATTCGGGTCTAGAGTAGAACTCTTGGTATATCTTGAAATTCACAATGGAAATACTGTTGGCCTTTGGAATACATACTGATTTATGCACCGATAAGGTCCATAACACTTTCTCAAAGATCTACAACTTTTCTTTTGATAACATCAGATAATTAGTTCTTGTTCTAGTTAAATTTTTCCGTCCAAAGGTTTTGGTTTCATGTATATAAAAATGTGCAAGTTCAAAATCTTCCATAAGATAAATAACTTGATGAAATTTATTCCAAAATTATTGTGCGAGCCTATAATGCAGTTTACCTGCTCTTCATTTGTCAGTTTTTGGCTAAATATTTGCTAGTCTTTTGCATACAGATGATATGAGACTGAGACTTAAACAGACATAACCAATTAAAAGGTTAATTAGTCATCCCTTCAAAGATAACCAATCTTACGCAGTGAAACTGCTTGCCATGTAAGCATCTCATGTTAATCAGACCTGTGAACTAACCTTACGAAATAAGAGAAGGGATGGCCACCTACAGATATTTTAGGCACTGACAAGTTTCTTGGGAGCATAGCATCCCTCTCTAGCTTCACTCTCTTTACTATCATATTTATAATTCATTAAGGGTTATAAATAGTATCTGCAGATGATTGAGGATTATTTTAGCGCTCTAATCCCTCTCTAGCTTCTCTCTGGTTTTCTTATTTTGTTTCATAAGTCTGCAAAATCCAACATCAGTTGTCATTTGTTGCCTAAATATTAAAGATACTAAGAGGATTTGCATTATCCAAACTTAATACCAATTTATGTGCATAATTCTCTAAACAGAAACCTTTATCTTTTTAAGTTCCTTTTATCTAAAATGTCATCGTGGTTTTAATTCTGAATTATATCTTCACTAGTACCATAGTTATCCATGGAAAGCTCATGTTTTTAGATAGCCACCAACCACCCAAAGGTGGCAATCGCATTCATGGAACATGAGGTCTTGTAAAAGTAAATCAAATTTTCATCATTTCTGCAGTTCATAATATCAATGCCTCTGGCAGATGGTAATAGCCACATTCTTTTACTTTGTAAAGTCAAGAATGCTTTGGAATGCTAAATTGTATGGCAAAATAGTGCCAAATAATTTATCAGAATGTTAATGTTTCCCTAAAGCCATATGACACCTTGAATCATCAAGGAACTGCATTATAGAAGAAAAACATGGTACAGGAGAAAATACTTCAAATCCTTGACTAAGATGGAAAAGAAACTAACACCTTAAAATTTTTATATCAGTAATTTGGGTTTATTGACAAATTTGCTATTGACAGGTAAACATGAATCAGACAATCCATCATTTTTCCAGAAGATGGGACAATAAAAGTTCAACATAGTCTATCTGTTTGTGCACTAGAGGTTGAATCATCTAATGCTTCGACATGAATCATTAAAATAATAAGGGCTTCAATGACTAACAAGCATACCATCTTGCTGCCATTGAAAATGGTTCTGAAGACTCACCTAAGGCAATGGTATTTGTTCTCTCCATCCAAAATCTCAGTAGTTGTAAATCGTCGCAGTGCTTCTTCAAGGGTTCCAACGTGCCCTTCTATTTCTACCGTAAGATCCATCAGACGCTCATATCTCTCAGATCTGCTGTGGCACTTCATACATTTTATCTAAATTTTCCAAGAATTTTGAGTTAGCATTAACCATTTTCAGAACAATGACTCAAAATAGTTTACCGCCAAAAGATAATAAAATAATTTTAAAAAAATCAATTAAACGACAAAAAGCAAAACCTTTGACTGAAGATAACCACCAAAGGTCAGTTGTATAAGAGTAGTTTCTTCAGCCCAATAATGATCAACTGCATGAGCCCCAGCTTCCTTGAGGCAAACAGATTGCATTGCATCAATGGCATATCTGTCAAAGAAAAACGAAAATCAAATGCCTTTGAAAGTGAATAGTCAATTATTTCCACCATCAGCACATAAATCTTACAGACTTGATCAGTCAACAATGCACCAATCAATGATTACATCCTTAAACACAACCTATGAGGATCCTAAACTTTCTAGATTGGAGTAACTTGGTAAGTCTCTTGATACATCAGATAATCTACCATGCCAAACCTTTTCAATGTGACAAACAGAGAACTTGTTGAAGTCCATACATGCAAAAGTATCTTCATTTGAATTCCATCATCTAGCTATTTGGAGCACCATACATGCAAAAAAATACTAACAAATTCCACATATTAGGTTTTTAGTCAATATGAGCAATGTTCATGATACCTACATACACAATACTAGAATCATTGACCAAAACTCGGGAAAAGAGAGGTCATCCAGCAAAGGCACACGTAAGCAAGGTATACAGTTTCGAATAATACCACTCGGTACGGGCGGTACGTATCGATCCGATAAGAAACCGGTACGTGTACCGCTCGCTACCCATCGGTATTTTTTATTTAAAAAAAAAAATATATATATATATATATATAAAGGCAACGTCGAACATTTTTTTAAAATTATTTCTATATTATATATATATATATAAATAAATAGATAGATATATAAATAAAAGATTATATATATATATATATATATATAGAGAGAGAGAGAGAGAGGCGACGTCGCTCATTGTTTTTAAAATATATATATAAATAAAAGATTTTATATATATAGAGGCGACGTAGCCTCACGTGGGGGAGAAGGGAGGCGACGTCGCGAAAATTTTTTTTACTTTTATATATACATATATATATACCGAATGGTATATCGCTCGGTATAAAGTACCATACCGTACCGAGAGAAGGCCGAAACTCCGGTACGGTATGATATTTCAATTCTTGCACGTAAGCATGCTGTGTTGGGCAATAAATTCATAAACAAAGTCAATAGACAAACTTGAACAAGCAAAGATGTACACTATCTAATATCAAAGGTTGTTTAGTTAGTATACGAGAATGTGATGATTGTCTCAGCTGCTCACATGGCCAGAATAGTGGATCTTGTACTTGATAATAGTATTCAGTAGCAAGCACTCCATACAGCTAGTACAATTTCTTTTTTTCTCTAAATGAAGCTGCCTTTTACGCAGTTATATCCTGATAAAAAAAACCAAGTGTTGTGACTACTGGTTAGCCACTTGTTGAAAATTATCATAAGAGCAGGATTTATAAACAACCCCCAAACAGACAAAAGTACTTTCAATGGATGAATGATAGATATTACATGCTATCTAACTATAGTTATAAGAGCATTTTTCATCAGACTGAGAGACATGTTCTCCAGCTCCATGATCCTGAAACTTAACATTACCAAACTCCATATAAGTACTACAACAAACTAATGGGACCTGCTTAGACACAACCTGTTATGAAACTTTACTAATAAAATTGCTCTAGAACTCAGATGCGCCAACAAATCTCAGTCAAGCATAGACATGGGCTAGGTATTTATCTAACTTTAATTGTACAACTACAAAAAGCAATGAAGCTACTATCTTAGCAAAGGCATCTTATAAGATTGTCTAATTAGAATTCATTTCACATCACTATATAATACTTGTATCACCTTAAAAACTCATGGGCATCTTCTTCTCTCCCATGACCAAGATGACTTCCAATTTCATGCATGTGGGAAAGTATGCCAGCAGGTGATAAGGGGGATTCTCCTAGTTTTGCCTTCATAAGGAGATTTTCAAGTTCACATGTGAAACACCATTCTCTCTTTGGACCTGTTATGAAAAGTTTTGAAACACAAATAAGAGACACATTCTTTTAATTGACAAAAGCAAAGAGAATGGGAATGTTCAGTGGAGGAAACATGCATGTTTTTGAATGAAGCCCTTGAAGAAGATAAGCAGTCAGCGGCGGAGTAAATGCCAAACACTGGAGCACAGCATTTGCATAACAGCTGCAGAAAAAAAAATAAAAACATGCACATTAATGAAAGGTTCCTCAGAGACGGCAGTAACAATCTGCAACAACTTGATTGGCTTCATATTTTCATTAGTGTTTTCAAAAAGAATTCATGTTTCAGCATTATTCTCAACAGTAAATTTGGTGGAATGAATTTTTAGTTCACCAAAATAGAGTAAAACTCATGGCATGGCATAGAAGTTCCAATGCTATGTAGTTTGTAATGACAACAAATCATATGACCAACAGTAAACATAAACTACGTATATTTATATTATGGGAAAAAAAGTATATTTAAGTGGAAACCTAAAAGCACAAAGCTTGACCAGATGCTTAAAAAGAATGTAAGAGGGAAAAAAAAGGTCATCAAACTCAAAGAGTAATAGCAATGAAATTCATCAAAAACTGCCTGTATAATGTGCAAGCAAATGAAATTAATGACCAATAGTTGACAATGAGAATTTCATGCTTATGACATAAGAAATATGATTGTTAACTAGTATGGAAAATAAATACAGAGAAAAATCAAGAGAACCATATTGGCCAAGGTTATCTCATGCAAAGATCGCACAAGTATTGTAAAATTCATAAGACACATAGCTTCGAGCTTATGAACTGAATGGAAAATTTTCAGGTATCAAGGTGCATTCTAACAAATACTTTACCTATTGTGGCAGTTTATTAAACCACTAGGACGTAACACCACTTTGTCAAAGTTGTAAAGTTTGACAAAGTAATCATATGGAAAGAGCATCTGAAAAAGCAGGAAGAGCCATGTATTAACAATACCCAATGAGGAAAAAGTGATGGTATAACTTGGGAGTATCAAAATAAGAAGCTAAATAATTCAAACCTTAATTTTTTTGGAAAAATCATATCCAGAACTAGACCTATGCTGCCTTGAGACTTTTGAAAGCTTTAGCTGCTGAACAACTCTTTGTACAGATGTTTTTATGTCACTGGAATGGGAACCTGCATTTTGGTACAATTTCATGGGAGCTTTAGGAGCATTCTCTACTTTTTTAGAGGCATCATTTGACATAGAATTCCCCGCAAGAGATACTTGATCAGCAATAGCAGATGACAAAGACATCAGACTTTTAGACTGCACTAGCTGTACACCATAACTTCTTAAACTATCAAGACCCTCCGATTCAGTGATAGAAGCTGATGAGCTTGTGCGATCAATTGCTCCCAACATAGAAGTTCTTGAAGAAAGTATTTCATTTCTAGACTTAGTTTGAGAGCGTATAGTCTCATCAGAAAGGTTGGAGGACTGCAACTGGGGTGTGACATCTGAGTGATAGTGATGGATTTCTTGGTAAACTTCAAATTCTGTCGATTCAACAGTCCTATTGCTTTGAGACACACTGGGTCCAAAAGTTCCATTCTCACATTGACCACCATCTTTAGAGGATTTAATATTTGAACAACTTTCAGAACCAATGAGGTTTGAGCCACGACTACACTCGACCTCTCCAGATGCAAAGGAGGATGTTCTCTTATCAACTTTTGTACTTAATTTCTTAGCAGAAACATCAGAAGAAGAATGTTCTCTGATTCCAGTTTTGTGGAGTAAAGTAGGGTGAGCTGTAGAAGAAGAGTCAACAAATGATCCAACAGGGACAGCGAACATTGAGCAACTTGAGGATGAAGAGTTAGAGGAAGAATCAGAAGTGCTTTCTGTTCCTGATGAGTCCATAAATTCATCATCACTAAAAGCTTCAGATGAATAGCTTGATTCAGATGATAGTTTCTTGGAGAATGACATGACAGCCTCCTGTGAAGTTCCTCCAGTACGCAGACTGCCATTGCATATTTTGGATCTTTCAGCTGGTAGCTCCTTCGGTCTTGTAACACCATCTAGACCATCATAATGATCATCAACCGAAGGAGAACAACAAACGTTCTTGTGTCCTTGTCTCCAATGGATTATCTGGCATGTCCTTGAGCTGCAAGTTCCATGCAGAAACAGGTAAATGCTGAGTACTGAATGAGTTAAATCAGAAGTTAGATGCAGCACATAACAGCTATAACCATGTGAATATATGCTTTAAAATGATGGAAATGAAATACTCATCAATAGTACAAGTACAACAATAAATACCATAAGAAATATCTTTAAAAGGCCAAACAATAAACTTTCCAGATGATCACGTATAGTTTAACAAAAATTCAGTATCTGCATGATCTAAATAGTACTCCCTGTGAAATAAGGAAACATGTAATTGAGTCCTTATTTCCTTACCAACTTATTTCAGCATATTTTCTGTACTTCCTCTTCTATAATAATCATGGTAATAGGCAGATAAATATTAATGCAAAAAAAGAAAATGCTCTATTCATAGTTGCACAGCACACATTTTGGACCTGTCACCCTAACAAATCGGCAAACATACCACATCTGATGGAACACAGTTTGCCTCATTGTGTGCCTTGTGCACCTAACTCAGCGAGAGATACCCGCACATGGAGAATCAATAAAAATCCAAGGAACAAAAGGACTACTGGATGTGGCGAGCCATTGCAGAAGGATCATCACGCTGTCACGGACAAAATTGTAAATGGGGTGTTCGATGTAATCCTTATGTATGTTCGTGTCTTTCGATTTTATTTATACTTTGCACAGCATATAAAAGGTTGGCAGTAGGTTTAACAGCCCCATTTTATTTGGTTTTGGTGGTCATCTTAGGCTTGCAAATAAAGGTTGTATCTTGTGGGGATTTCGGTCTGTAGTGGACCATTTTGGACCCTTTGTTGTGCGACTGTTCAAAGCTTGTAAAGTATGTTTGTAATTTGCATTGGCTATGAAGTGTTTACTGAAATGATTTCTCGTGGATCCCGAGTGAGACGTTTTCTCTAACCCGTTTTCTCTTTTATAGGTCCAAGGGACCATAGGAGGTTTCGGGGAGGCTGACCTTTGCGGATGGACATGCAAGGGTGCTGCACGGCTTATGCAAAACCAGCTAAGTGTGTGACATATGGTATCAGAGCGGGACAAGCACTCATAGAAACACTTGGCATGCAAACGTGGGGGACCTAGCAGGGCTACGTTGAGGGCAGCCAACATGCGCAACCATTTGGGGGAAACGGGCATGAAGATATAGGGTAAAGGAGTCGCTCAAAGGATCGGACATCTGAGATTGACATTTAGAGGAATGGCCAACCCTTCGCGCATGAGGCACCACGAGGACAAACAAGCTAAGAAGAATGCGTAGCGCACAAAGGTTGGGATGGCTGAGTTAGAGCTACGGCTCGACGTTGGCAACCATACTTGATGGTGCTCAAGGCAAGCGAGGCGCTTGGTAAAGGACGAGACCATGCAAGGTGAAATAGGTTGTTCAGCGACCGAAAGAGTTGTGCAAAGCTCACAGAGGTGAGGGGAATTTCTAACTCGAAGAATTCGGTACTCATGCAAGGGCTTGTATGCGGATGATGGAATGTTCGTGGTCATCCCAAGGCGACCGAAACTCGGTGCCATGTAACATTGAAACTTTCTCTTCGACATGAGAATGATACATTCATAAGATGTTGAAGTGTGCAGTAAGTTCAACATGTTGCTAGTCCTTGAGGGGTGCAGCAAGGGCTGTATCGGCGAGGAGTCTCAATCTAGCAAGTGCATTTATGGGGGCAGAACAATGCATAGTTTGTTCAGCAATACGGAATAGTCCAAGGAGATGGTGGTTTCTGAAACTTTCAAAGGGAAGGATGTGAAAAGAGAAGTTGCTCCAACGGGACAAATACCTTAGAGGGATAAGTCCCGATTCTCCGGAAGGAGAATCATGTGTAACGGACCGCACATGTTGAGGAAGTGTACCTCAAGACAACAACCCCACAAAGCTCAACGGACCAAGCGAGTGGCGATGAGTCGTCACATAATCTCGCATGAGATAATGCATTGGGGGATGCATTGCGAGATCAAGTAGAGGAGCGACCTAAGACAACACAAAATGAAAGCACACTTGGAGCCGATATAGAGATCGGACTCAATGGAGGGCTGACCCGTGGAACGGTGGGCGCAAGGACCACCATTAACTCAATGTAATCGAGGAGCGGAGCAACTTGAGTGTAACTTGGCGAAGTACCCAAGTCACATGAAAGGAGTCGACATAGAAGATGAAACATGGAGCAGAGGCACGAAGTTTTCCTTGGACAGAAGTCAAGAACATGAACTCTTGCACATGCACCTTATTTTGAAGAAGCATTTGACGGAAGAACTAAGGCGACTCAACTTGCGAAGGCGAAGTTGGGTTCAAAAGGCCTTGGCACAGGGCAAGAGGACGTGAAGGCGAGTACTCTTGAAGAATATGTCACAGTGCTGCCATTCAAGTTGTCATGAACAAAGCGGTACGTAACGGAGATTGTGCTGGTAGGGGCAGAGGCCCAGGATCCAAACAATGGTGCACAAATTTCAGCGAAGTCGATGGACTTCGGGAGCTACTAGGTGACGGACTATCCTAGAGATGTGCTTCGTTTGGGTGTGACCCGAGAGTAGGTGGACGAATGTCGATTGCCAAAGGAGCGAACACAATCGAAGGTAGAAGAGGCCCTATGATGTGTTGGCAAAGGCCACACATGAAGGGATCACAATCCGAGTTCATCCCACAAGGATCAGAATGCAATGAAGATGTCACCAGGAGGCGACATGGTGCAGCGGATCGTGGTGAAACAGTTCGTGGCAATGCGATACACACGAATCTAATCCCGCGAGAGACTAGATCATACAAAGGTATGATCGGGAGCTACTGGGATCTCCACTTTAGTGAACAACACAACGACAAGAAAGGCTATAGATTCAAGGAGTGAATGTCTTGGTACCGTAGAGGTGAGTCTTCTATACGTGCATCGAATTTTGCATCAAATAAAAGCCTTGGTCATCAGCATATGGGGACTATGTACCACCGAGGGAGTATACCGAATGCAAGTAACAATGAGTCCCATGGGAGGGACTTGATCATGCAGAGGTATGATCAAAGCGGCTGAAGAGTTGGACTGCTCCAGAGCTCATACTCGCTTAAGGGAGCCCGGCAAGTCAGAGGACAAGGTCGAGTAAGCGAACGTTGCTACCAAGTAAGCTAAGAAGAACAGAATCGGTGCGAACCCTACAACATGATGACAGAGGTCATGCATGGGAGTTGCAGTCTATCTTTCCATCAATCAAGGGGAACTGCTTGGAGAACACAGAGGTGTTGAAGCAGGGGATCGAAAGGGGCGAGAAAGCGACAACGAGTCCAAAGGGGCTTAGCTACCCAAAACCAAGAATCGGTTAGAATGAAGGTGGACTCGGAGGAGTGCCATAGAGGCAGATCTACCGATCGCGAAGAAAGGGATGCAAATGCGAGGTGACGGATAGTAGGGTCATGGGCATGGCAGTACCATGATACCGCAGAGGCGAGACTTTCGTGAAGTCATCGATCCCTTACTCTCATAGAGGGAGAGCGCTTGGTCGTGAAAGGGGTCGAGAAGGTGGAGAATGCAGAGGCAAACTCCAAGTACCGAGACAAGGCTGAAGGGTAGAGGCCAGAGAACTTCGTAAGACCGGTGTCAACGAACTTCTCATCAAGATAGCCGAAAGTGGAGGACTTCAAATCAATGCAATAGTGCACGACCAAGGAACGAAGCATGCAGTACGCGGTGTTGAACTTTTGTTACTCAGTGAAGTAGGCGACAGAGATGATGGAGAAGACGGTACAATCCCAGAGGCGACCAAAACTATTAGAGACTTACTCCAAGTTAGGGTGAAAACTTCTTGCATTCCAGAAGTTCGATGGCATTGAGAAGGTGAATCACAGTAGATAACTTAACACAAGGAGTGCAAACACTTCAAGTGCTTTAGAAGTGTGAGCAAAGAGCAGGCGAAGGCTAATAACCAACTCGATGCATGGAGTACAACCCTCGAGGAGGCAGGCGAAGTCAAGTAACCTTTGTCTTCTCAACTCTTAAGAGAATGGGCGAAACCGAGTACCTCAATTCTCTTATATATCCAACAGAGGAGCTCTGCACATGTTCAAAGACCCTTCGAAGAAACCAAATGGAAGACAATAATTGTCAAATCCTCACCAATGGTGATCAGTGCTACTGAGAGTAGATTATCCGCTTCATTTCCCAACATAATGTCAAACAAAAGCGGAAGTGATACAAACCTATTTGGAAGTGACAATTAAGTGAAAGAAGAGTCGATAAGTAAATTTTGTGGAGGAATGACCCAAAAACTTCAAATGTTTACGAGACGATGCTCGTTAAAACTCCAACAGGCATCCACCCAGTTCAAGCGGCATAAGGCATTTGAGAGATTGATGCATACTAAGGATGATCTTTTTCTTCGTCTGAAGGATCCGCAGGAACCAACAGTGATCAAAACAACTCAGCCAACCCCACACTAAAGTCAGAGTCATTGGAGAGTTGAAGCAACATGACGGATTAAAAGTTCGACCACTCAACAACAGCAACGGAGAGCAGCTGGGAGTTAAGAAGCATATTACAATTGGACCAGAAGATTAAAGATTCAGGCGAGGAGTTGCAACGTCAGCAAGGGCTTCAACGAGGATGTCGAAGGAATAAGTGGGGGAGAATGTCACGGATAAAATTGTAAACGGGGTGTTCGATATAATGCTTGTGTATGTTCGTATCTTTCGGTTTTGTTTATGCTTTACACAACATATAAAGGGCTGGCAATAGGCTTAGCAGCCTCATTTTCTTTGGTTTTGGTGGCCTTCCTAGGCTTGTAAACAAAGGTTGTGTCATGTGGGTACTTGTAGAGATTTCGATTTATAGTGGACCATTTTAGACCCTTTGTTGTGCGATCGTTCAGAGCTTATAAAGTTTGGTTGTAATTTGCATTGACTATGAAGTATTTACTGAAATGATTGCTTGTGGATCCCGAGTAAGATGCTTTCTCTAACCCGTTTTCTCTTTTGTAAGTCCTAAAGGACAATAAGAGGTTTCGGGGAGATTGACCTTTGCGAACGGACACGCAAGGATGCTGCACGACTTATGCAAAACCAACTAAGTGCGTGACAACGCGGGCAGAGTTTCTGGAAGTACACCTTCATGATAACAAGTTCCTAGCAATGAATTTGCACACGTCCAATGTCCTGGCTTATGGAGTATCCAGGAAGAAGACACAAGTAATGTGTGGAATTTGCAAAAGAAAGTGGTTGAAGTGTATCTTCTTTTACATATTAAAAACAATCATTTTCTCCCCTCCTATTTCTATCCATCTGCGCCACAATAAATAGGGTTTAGACTAGTACGTTTCTTGTGTTATCGATGAGGAAACGATCCACATAAAAGACGATCAATTCCCATATCTTCTAACCTCAATTACCAGAAGAAATCAGAGTAACAATTAATCACAGTGCAATCTACTTCCAATTTAAACAGTTGCAACACTTCATTTCTCTAGCGACTAATTACATTTCTATAGGGTCACAAATTCAAATTCATGCATTAAGATTACATGAGATCCACAGGCCATATAGCTCAAGACCGAAATCAGAACCCTAATTCTACCCGATTCCCCAGAATCAAACATCAAAGGAGGTAGAATTCATAAAAAATTCTACAAGATGCCGACAATTTACAGAAGTCGTAAAGTCGAAGACCACATACCAGTATCTCACGGCTTTGCACCGGGAGCACCTCGTGGTAGTAGGGCTGCGGCACACGGCACACACCGCCATCTTGGGCCCACCACCGCCTACGACTGGGAGGGGACTCCGGCACCCGAGCCACAAGGCCTCCTCCGCCCGCGCGGCCTCCTCCGCCGCGAGGAGCGCGAGACGCATGACCTCTGCCCGCCTCGCCGCAGCCCGCCTCCACCTCCGCCGGGCCACCAGCGCGAGGAGCGGGCCGAGGACAAGCGCCACCAGGGCAAACCCTAGGGGGGGCATCCTGCCCCCACACCACCGCCCGTCGTCCGGCGCTCCCCCGCCGGCGCGCGCATAGATTCCTGGTGCGGTCACAGGGGATCGTCCCCAATCCTTCCTCTCACACGCTGCTCCCGATTCGACGCCGCCTCCTTGCGATGCTGACGCCAACTACGAGATCAAAATGCTCGGTCGCTCGCTCGGTCGCTCGAGGCCGTGACCGGACCGCCCGACTCCTCCTCCTTCACACGCTGCTCCCAATCCGACGCCGCCCCTACGCGTTGATGACGCCGATGATGAGATGAAGATGGTCGCTGGTTACTTGGCGGCCGCAGAGGAAGAAGCCAACGAGTGAAGCCACCAGTCCAATATACAAAGTAAAGTTGTGACGACAAACAGTGGTACAATAATAGTTTCGGAAAGAAGGGGGTGATGATGGAAAGCCGGTCGGTCAGTATGCGATCGAGTAAACTTGATGATCGGGTAACATCGCTTGGAATCTTTGGTACTGTACACGGTCAAGCTTTGATATGGTAGATGACATGATGTTTCGTGGAAGAGACAAAAGATCATAAATGTTAGTATTCCAAAGGCTATTTTTATGAAATAAATATAATAATATCTTCTAATAAATGAAGAAAAAAAATTTGATTTAATTAACTATATAGACCTTTTATGAAATAAATATAATAATATCAAATTATTAAACTAATAAATAATAATATCATATCATGAATAAATAATGAGTTATAGTATTATTAACAACATCATTACAGACTTAGTTAGAATTATGTATATTATATATTATATGACACCAAAGTGAAATCAGCTCACAAATGTTCGCTTGGACTTTTAGCTTTGTGCTAGGAAAGAATGATGGATATAAAGAAAAAAATAAATTAGAAATAATATATATATATATATGTAAAATATCATAATTTTTCAACGATGGTAAGAGATTTTCAAAAAATACATCAGTCCTATAATCATATAGTATTTTCATCAAATAGTAAAGACCTCCGAGTTGACACCATGTTGAGTATTCCGAATACTCGGTCGTCGTTGTCCGAGACGCTATTATTGAGACTTGAAATTGGTTGGATCAAATAATTGACGGGGTGATTAGATGAAAGAGAGCAATGTTTTTATCTTTTGCATACTTGTCACCGTCATGCATGTTTTTAGTGTTGACTTCATGCTTAGGTTAGATCTCAATAGGAAATTTATGTTCGAACCCAACCACACACACCCATTGAACTGAGAAATCATGCAAATACTCATACTCTTAAATTATCTTATACATTTGATTTAAGTTAAACTCAACACGTGAGAGACCGATTTAGTATCATTTTAAATCCTTTCCTATAATGGATATAGAGAAATTAAATAAAATTATCATAAATTTCTTTCTGGAGTTTATGAAAGCATCTATAATAGGATTTGAGTTAACTCAGCTTGGACTACTATTGGTCGATTTTATACAATAACGTAGACCAAAAGTATTAGAGCACATGTTGATTTTCTAGTTTGTACTCTTATTGGATATGTGAATTTGTATTTTGACATTAAGGCTTTCTCCTTTCAACAAATATGATTAGGTAAATCTACGATGATAAATAAGTTGTGATATTTTAGTTGGGTCTAATCACCTTGGTATTATAGTGCACTTATAATTAGACATCTTATAGGGATACAAACAAGCAAATAACTAATTTATCATATTGAAGCATGAAATATTAGCACTAAATATAAATATGAATAGCTGTATCATATGAATTAGGCCAATACTAACTAATCCCTTAACTGTCGTAATAACTTATTTAGATGGAGGAGGAGCACACAAACAAAATGGAACTTTTTCAAAAGATACAAGTACTCTAAAAGAAAAAAAAACTTAATTATTATTATTATTATTGCCAAGACATGCAATCAAGATACAAAATGAAAAAGAAAATGTTTAATAAATAAAATATTCCCAAAATTTTACACCGCAAAACATTAGGCTATATTGAGTTTTGTTTTTTCCCTAAGAATCTTGTAAATTTGTGAGAAATATGTAATAGGCTCTGGCCAATTACAAATAGTTGACTCTTATGATTCTGCATTTGATGTGCACAATCTCGTACCCGTGAGATCGTATTGAATGTGTAAGACATCATCACATCAGCTTTGTGGGTTGACCAAGTCCACCTAAAACAGTATTTAAATTGTAGGCATCTGATGAAACATGGATTCTATATATTGAATCTTACGCGATATTGTGTTTTCTAATACTTTCATGTATTGAATTATGCAGTTGAAGAATAAATTCTTTTTGAGGTTAAATATAGGTTCAATTATCTTGATTCTATTGTAGGTGGTTACACGTAATTGACATTGATTCTATTGTAGGTGGTTACACGTAGTTGACATGTCATCATTTTAAAGCTAATTCGATTCTTGATAAATTATAAATCATTGTTATATCATTTGACCCTCATTATGATTTGAGATTAGGGTTTGTCTCGAAACATAATGTCCGAACACTTGGCACCTTAATGCTTATATGTTTGCTGGATTGGTTGAGCTGGAGCCAATCTCGTAGATGGTCTATTATTGTAAGTTAAATGTAGTCTAATGAATTGAGCGCAGACTAGCCCAAGTTGACTTGATATGGTCGGTTCTGACGTAGGCTAATAAGACTAGGTGTTCGTTGACCTGACATGGGTCGTGTGCAGGCTAAGAGATCAAGATGACTGACTAGTGGACGTTGCTGGACGTGGACTCATCATAGATTTATTTGACTTTTAATATCAAAGCCTCGATAGTTGGGTGGTACAGAGTTCCTCCTCCTCTTTTAAGGAAAGAAAAACAAAAAACTCTTTGGTTTTAAGACCAAGTTGAGCTTCACCTGCTACTAAGTGACAGTTACCGACTTGATTATAGTCAACTCACGACTTATTTGAAGATAATATCAACTTAAGCAAGAAAAACCAACTTGAGGATGGACCGCTTTGATGATTCGATGGTTTAGATGATGTGGCTGACTCGAGAGCATGATCATCATGAGAAAGCGATGAACTTGAATGTACGATTGATTGTCTTTGTAATCCGATCCATATGACATGATGGTATGACTATCTCGTGTAAGAAATCTTTGATACCAAAATATGTTTCTAAATCATTATAACGACGAATTACTCGTCAATAGCTTATAACAAGTCTCGGACATTTTTGTCAATAGCTTGTAACAGACTTCATTGTATTTTGAGGATTGTTTTATTTTTTTTAATTTTTTTATATGAAGTTCAAATATGATTGTCAAATTAAGTTATTTGCCATCCATCGTATTTTGAGTGCAATATGTATCTCGTGCATGAGATGAGATATAACCTTAGGTACATATTATTACCCTTCGAGATGACAAAAGTTTGAATTCAAAGACGTCATTCATCTTTTTTTATGTCACTACTTAAGTATTATTCTTTTTCTCCGACATGAGATGCTCGGTCATCGTACGCAGCAGAGAAAAGTTGTTAGACGGTTTCGCTTTATTCGAAAGAAGAGAAACTAACAAGGCGGCTTGGGGTGATTGATAAAGGCATAAGAAGTCATATAAAAATGGTGTGGATCCCTTTATTCAAATATTACGAATCGAAATCGCAGTTCGGATCCAAATCACAGACCCCAACGTGTTTCGTGATCCAGCAGGGGAAGTCGAGGCGCGAAACAGGAGCTCTAGGGTTCGAGGAGAGGAGGCGAAGGTGAGACCTTAAGGGTGTCTTTGATGTGTTGGATCGTCTGCTTTCGTAACCTCACTTCGATTATGTTTCGTTTCGCAAGATCGCTTAGTTCTGCCATCTCTTTGATCTGATCTCTAGATGCAGTCTTTCGGTTTAGAATATATGATGTTTTCATCTGCGTAAGATGTAAGCTTTTATGTACGTTCCATCTCTGGTCTGGTTTATCCATTCTCTTAGCTCTCTCCCTTCTCTTGTTCTTCATCTCTGCTTGCCTCAAGTAAACCGTGGGTTTCTGCCTCTCGTACCTAAGAATTCGCTTGTGATTTGATAATCTAGCCACGAATCCCATGGAATCAGGTCACCCCTGCCGATCCTGGTCCAGATGAGCTGGATCGGATCTGGCAAAACAAGTATCGCTTGTCTGCACTCGTTACCAAGTTTTGCTAAATGCTCCATGATTAGTGGCCAGATACTTCGTTCAAGCATCCTCTAGTCTATGGTAATTAACGTGAATTCCATAGGTCCGCCATATGTTTCTGGGATCTCATGGATACTTTCTGCAGTTTTTTCCCCTTGCGAATTTTAACCATTTTATATAGATATTTTTGTACTATCATTTCTTCTCATCTCTTGTTTTACATAGATAATTCTAGATAATACATATACTTCAGATTGCCGTACCCGTATTGTGTAATATTTATATCCGGTGACGGTATCTCCGCGGCTGTTTATCCATGTGAGCATTTTACTATGTTTGTCAACCTATCCAAGGAATCTACAAGCTGAACCATGAAGAGCTTTTAGTAATGCTAGTGAAAGAGCAACATGAAAGTGAAAGAAGACAATAAGTACGGATAGCAAGATTGTTGCTTAAAGATGCGTATTCCTGTTGATCAGTGTAACTAGAAGATAAATTTTGAGTAGTCAAAGCCAAAGATCTTCTCTTCGACTATTTTATGCTTATCTTGCCTTGTTGCATGTATTGTGTTCAAATTTAGCAAGTCAAGCGAATGAATAGGTGATTGACATGAAGGAACAGAAGAAGTCATTCTAAACATCAAGAACATCTTACCTCTAGGAGCAATTAGACCTCTGGGCATGAATTGAACTGTGTCACCGGGAAGTCTGCACTAGGTTCATTTGTACCTTGCTTTTTCCAAAAACCTAAAGAATGGTAGTTTGAATATAAATTGTGCTGTGGAAGGGTAGAAAGGTACCAAAAAATTCATAGGAAGAGATGCCTTGATACTTGGCCATTCATCAATATCTCTTTTGTGTTCACGACAAATTCTGATGCCTGCCTGTCAATGATCTAAGTTGAAACGCTCTGATTATTAAACTTGTTTTCAGTAAACCTATTAAAGATGATGTTTACTAGATTTCAGCGGAGAATGGAAGAACTTGTGATCAGATCCACATGGAAATTCGGTTGGTTGATTGGTCTGATTTTTATCCGACAACAATAGGATTTTCTGCTACCGTAACTAGAAGAATTAGACATCACAAAGCTTTTTCATTGAGAAGCATCTAAAAGTAGATAATGCGAACCCAGGGGAAGATGAAAAAGAAAAATATGAAAGGTGTCCCAGTAAGAGGTTGCTAATGCAGCTAATGATATTTCGCACTCTCCTTGTAAAACAGTTTGCAACTTATTACATTTGAATTGAAATATTTTACTGCAATGGTGAGTCTAAATCATCCCATTTTGCACTTTCTAGATTTTGTCAGTCAACAACTTTTGGGTTCATTTTAAGGTGCTGTCACACAGGGGATTGTAGACAATTTTTTTCATCACATAACATAGGGCTCTATCAAGTTTATAGAAGGGTTTCCAGTCCACTGCCCAACCTAGCTAATGTTGCCCTGAAGAGTACCATCTCACTAAATCTGACCCGTAGACCACAATAAAGGAAGAGGAAAGAGACCAAAGTAACGAGATAACAAAAACCATTAGACATACTAGACTCAGTGAAATGATCAAATTGGCCTCGGCTATGAGGCCAGCTGCTTGTCCGAGTAGATCTGAGTGGATCATTTAATCTTGATACCATAGCCTTTATTCATAAGACTAATTGTAATCTGATCTAATTAAATTATTCACTAAATATTTGTACCATCGGCCACAACCAATTTTGCACACTGCTAGATGAAAATTTTCTCTTGTAGGTGGTTAACATTGGACTCATTGTTCAACATTTTGTCTCTGTCAACTCAGTCTTAAAAGTTTGCTTTATTACAATAGCAAGAGACTTCCTTGAATATTTGGATTGGGTTTTTGAAGCTATGAAGACCATCATCATCAACTATGAACCGAAGCCAATATTTGGGACCTTAAAATTGATTTAGTTGTCATGTTTGAGCTAGTACTTGGATTAGGAATTATATATGGAAGTGTAAAGTTATTTGGCCAATATAATTATATCATATCCACTATGTAGATGGCTATCTCTCATCCCTCATTTGACTGTTACACTGAAGGGGAGGATGGTGCAATATGATTTTTTTTCAAGTCAATTTCTTACTGTAGCATGGTTTTTAAAACTGGGACTTGTTTAAGTCATATGCTGCTGTCCTTTGGATGTAAAGAATCCGATATGTCCACAGAGTAGATATTAGCTATTTGATTAAGATTCAAAAAGTTCCTATTATTATACATGGACAACCTATGGGAAGATGTGAAGTCTAAATTTGCTTCTCTATCAAGAGTAACTACTTGATTAGGCCTTAAAAGGAAGCCTGAAATTTGTGGACGATGTTCTTCGTCCTTCTTGTGTTTTCAATTGAAGGGAAGCATGGGCAATCTTAGTCACTAAAATGTTTAATCGAAAAAGAAAATTTGAAATAAGTTGTGATCCTTTTTCCCACCAGAGAAAATGGCCCCAAAGATGATTGCTTTTGGAAATATCCTTGACGGTAAGGGGAGCAAGGATTGAGGGAAGGTGGAGGATTCAAGTGGTAAGAAGGGAACATAATATTTTTTATCCTTCAAAGTTGAAACAGTCACTACTCTTTTTAATTGCTCATTTTTGGTTGAAAGAGAATCATTACTTGACCAATTCTTTTAATGTTAGGTTATTTTTTACCACTTCTCTGTTGCTTTGATTGGACCGGAACTCTTGGGTGGTACATGAGAGGTCTTTCTACTTGTGGGTGCTAAAACTCTTTACATATGACCAACTCCAGAGCCGTCTCTTGCACTGGCTTGCTGTTTTATCTTTTGGCTTTTCCAAGTAGAATATTGTAAGTAATTAAGATGGATTGCCTAAACTTTATCTTCTGTTGCAGCTTTTGTTTCAAGTGGAATCCTTACTGGTTGCATATATTCTGGCATGTGCTATTTACATGGTTACTTGATATATGCAGTGGTTACCGTTCAATGTTTATTACAGCGACTGGTATGCATTTGTCATTACCTATTGGTAGACAAAACTTATGCTGCTGCCACCTTCGGTTGTTACTAAGAAACCAAATAGTTTAGATAAAAGTGAGTCACCCTAAAAAGAAGGTTGCAAGGTGTTTCAACTGTCGAGGATGATACTAACCTCACACAAATAGAATATGTTATAATTAATTCTCATTAAATGAAACTTCTGAATACTCTTTAGAGTTGCTTATTTAAGCATATTAATTTTTTGGTTTCCCTTGGTCATTTGTTCAAAGTGTGATCGCAATTGCAGATTGCTGAAGTTAGCATGCATTATTCTGGCTAAAGCTCACTGATCGTGTCATACCTTTGTGTAATTTTATTTGCATCATGTTTATGAACTGGGCAATGATATAACTTTTTTTTAAGATTTCTATTTTGCAGATGATCGATGATCAAGATTTGGGATTTTTTGCTAATTTTCTTGGCATATTTATACTTGTTTTGGTAATTGCGTATCATTATGTGATGGCCGACCCAAAGTAGGAAGAAACTCAAGCTCGGGATAGTAGTCTTGTAGAAAGCAAGTAGAACTTACCGGGGGACTAACATCTAAATGACGGTCATCTGTGTTTATATTGATATGGATGTAATACTTTTGATCCAGGATCTAGTTAGAATTTCACATTTTCTTCATAATTGAGGACTTTTGGTAGTATACTTACTTGATGAGTATATTTCCTCGATAACATCATCTGGCTTGGCTACTTTAGTTGGATCATCTTGGGCGCTTAGTATTGCTGATGTGCTTGAGCGATCTGAATGATTGGTGCTGCTATCAAGTTCGTTATGATAAACAATTCTCTTTTCCCTTGCGAGATTTGGTTGCACTGCCTTTACGCCATGGGGATATTGCTGCTTCAATGTCTTAATCACGTAGCTAAGATGTTGCTTTACAGATTATGAAATTTGCCAATCATCATGCGCTAGGTTCTGTTCATTTCATGTTTCCTCGCATGAGGTTTTGTATACGTAGTTGTTTGAAAGGGTACTAGTGATTGGTTACTTGTTGAGCGAGCTTTGACCTCTTCTCTTATTCGGCGTTTGGGACACAAGAGGTGAAAAATATGGAAGACTCGCTGTGATATCGTTTTGCGAACTAATAATATTACCTTCTGTTGTTTAAGTTACGTGCATTCCAGTGAGGCGCTGAATCGGGACGCATCAATGACTACAACCCGGAGTTATAATGGGCGCTCTAATGTGTAATAAGAGACAAAAGAAAGCTGACGGGCATCAGCCATGGGCATTGCAATAATCCAGTTGAAGCTGTTATCGTTTGCGGATTAAACCGGCCTGAATTGGTTTGATGCAGTTTAGAAATATGATTATATACAAATTAAAATTTGATAAGTATACTAGATAATGTCATAGGAACATCTTCTCTTCATATTGTGTTAGCTCTTGGTGTCGGTGGCCTATTCTAGGGGGGTCGGTGCTATACTGAGGTGGAGGATGGTCGACCCGCCGTGGTGGTTCATGGTTGGAGCCTTGATGAAATGTGAAGAACTCTGATATAAGAAGGGGTGCATCTCCTTGATAAACAGATAATATTTCCTCAAGGCAATTGAGAAGATCTCTAAGCAATTGAGGAAAAATCTGAGCAGAAGAAAATCTTCCCTGCTGAACGTATATAAATAGCTATCAAGAGCTCACTATCTAAATGGACTATGCAATTATATTTCATAGTTTCTTCTACAATTTATATCTTTCTATCTTCTTCGTTTAATTCTTTACATGATACCAGAGCACCTTGCTTAGAGTAAGCTCTCTTCTCGTCGTTTGACTCCTCACACAACCTTGTTGAGGAGCTCGACATCGACGCTGCTTACCCTATTTCGTAGTGTTCTCCTACCTGAGCTGGCAGTCGCTTATCATTTCCTCTACCTCGGCGTACCTCGGTAACATTAATCCAAAGTAACAAAGCAGTCACCTCGACACAGCCCCGCGATCGCTTCCCGACCGGAGTCCACTGCCTCCCCTTGGGTCACAGTCGCAATTGCTCAACCATCCCTCTTGCGGCGACATCTTCGCCCCTCAGCCGCAACCATTCGTTGCAGCCTACTGTAGCACTTGCGGCTGCTAGTATCAGATCACACCTGCCATAGCAGTAGAGATTGAGATAACGATGGTGCCACCGCTGCTACAGTCGTTGTCGCCACGCCCACTACATCGACACTTCTTCCGTGGGCAATGCTCCTAAAGGAAGCACAGTCGCGGCCTTTGTTTCTACCGCCAGCTACTGCTCCCTTGCCAACCGAAGTCTTTCGTTGAAAACTCCGTCACTCTTCCGGCCACCAAACTCCAACACTGCATTACTGTAGCTATCTCCAACCTTGCAGATTTCTCCAGCATCGCTGCAGAAATCGTTGCAAGCTGCAGAGATTTCTCCCGCCTCGCTGCAACAATCTCTCCTGCATCACTGTGAAATCTCTCTTGCATTCTACGTCACCGCAGAAATTGCTGCAGCCTTCTCCAGCATTAGTGTAGCCTTCTCCAGCATCGGTGCAGCCTTCTGCTGCTAACACTGCTGCAATCGCACCTCAACCCTACAGAATACCTTAGTGTTGAATCTCGGATTTTGATGATGAAGTCAATTGTCATTTGTTATCTAATCCATATATTGAGATAAGTGTGCAGGATTAACTATGATGACAATAAGACATGCAGCAGGAGTTGCGCTGGAGTCAAGACCATGATCACGTTGGGGGTTCGAGAGTTCGACGAAAGTCCGGATGGTCGTCGGAGGTTCTGCGGGAACAAATCCTAGAAGCCCAGGAGCTTGCCAAAGAAGCTCGTCGGAACTCGCCAAGTGGATTGTCACAAGTTCAGGAGTTTGCCGGAAGTCCGTAGGAGCATCGCCGAAGGTTCGTCGGATGTTCGCCGGAAGAAGCGATTGACGCACCGGAGCAAGTTGCAGTAAATGTCTTAAGAAATATCGTAGTTAGCATGTAGATTAAGTTAGGAATGGGAGGTGATCCCATTAACTTAATCTGGAGGCAATTGGGCCCTTGATAGACCCAAATTGGGCCGAATGGATCAGCCAATTCGGACCCAGATTTTATGGCCGGCGGTAGCACCGCCCAGGTCAGGCGGTGGTACCGCCTGGGCTCAGTCTCCAAGCGAGACTAGGCGGTGGTATTGCCCCTGTCAAGAGGTGGTACCGTCTGAGCTCGGTCTTCGAGAGGTAGTACCGCCCAGTTATGGCGGTAGTACCGCCAGGACCTCGAAAATCCGGGAGATGATATTTTTTAGCTATAAATTCAAACCAGTTTGGGGCCTATATAAACCTCACCCTTTCCTGCATGAAAGGGCACCGAAAATCTAATCTTACTCTATGATTTTTAGAGCTCAAAAGTGTTGTATAAGCTAAAAGTTCTCCTCCCTCTTTTCTTTCAATTTTTGATCATTCAAGACAAGAGTGAAAATTCTATAAGGGTTGTCTCCTAAGCCCATCAAAAGGAGTGAAACTGTAAAAGGGTTGTTGGCCTTCGCCTATTGAAGGAAGGCCTCTGGTGGACGTCGGTGATCTCGTCGGAGGAGGAAGCCAAAAGTGGATGTAGGTCAAGATTGACCGAACCACTCTAAAATTGTGGTGCTCTCTGGTTTGCATTTATTCTTGCTACTTACCTTACTGCAAACCTCCATATGTGCTTTACTTTCTCATTACTTTTGTTGCACTCCTTTACGAACTCGCCTTCAAGTTAAGTTTCTGAAAACGGTTTTACGTCGGAAATGATTTCATTGTACGAATGTCGTTTTAAATCGTCGAAAGTTTTTCGCTGCACTAATTCACCCCCCCCCCCCCTCTTAGTACTCTTGATCCTAACACTTAGAGCCCTCAAATCCCAACCACCAAGCTCTACTAGTACCTCTGGAAGAAGCAGCAGCTCTCTTCGGCATTGCATACAACGACTCTTCTACAGCACTTCTGCCATTCCAAATGTCTTCATTGTCTACCTCTGCTATTCCATTTTTTATTCCTGCAGGGAACCATAGTATTTCTCAAAGTCTTATCACCATCAATGCTACAGTACTCCTTCCCTTCAAATTATCCAAAGGCGGCAACTACCTGATAAGACCAGTCTTATCGTAGGCTCTGATACCAAATGATAAGACCTTAAGGTCTTATCATTTGGTATCAGAGCCTACGATAAGACTTTAGGGTCTTATCACTAGCATCTTGGCGGGCACAACTTTCTAATCTTCTATTTGGCTATGATCTCCTAGGTTATGTTGATGGCTCTCTCCAGTGTCCACCTGAAATGGTCAACATCCCAGGAGAACCTAGTCCAGTGCCAAATCCAGCCCATAAATTATGGTTACGTCAAGATCACCTCATCCTCCAAGCTATTCAAGCCTCAGTTGCTAGATCCGTTGCCCCGCTGATATCCTCATGTACGACTGCGGTAGAAGCATGGTGCAAGTTACAAGTAACTTTGGCAAATCGCTCGCGTACTTGCATGCTCGGACTTCTCTCCAAACTGATGAAAACAAAACAAGAGGAAAGTACTATTGCTGATTATCTACAAAATATCAAAGTTATCATCGATGACTTGGCTTTGATAGGTCATTCTCTCAGTGATAAAGAAGTCCTAATTTATATCCTCAATGGCCTAGGAGGCGAGTACAAAGAAGCACTTAGGGCACGGGACTCACCAACATCATTCGAAGAACTCTATGATAAGTTGATCGACTATGAGACGTACTTGAAGCGTGATGATAGGTTGCCCGGACCACCTATTACAGCTCAGGTCAATCAAAAATCCAAGAGGAAGAGCAACCAGTATAATAAGCACGTCAACAACAGTTTGGCTAAGCTGCCTCCTAGCCCTATGGGGCCCAGACCAAACTCCCCTTATCCCTATCAAGGTGGTAACTTTCATAATCCTCAGCCATCGCGTCCTGACTTCACAAGCCACAAATGAGTCATTTGTCAACTATGTGATAAAGTCGAACACTCCGCGAAAGTCTGTCGATCTCGCCCTAGACTCCCTGTTCCATCATAGTGGCCTCAGGCAAATTTCATGGCTACTCCAACTCCTACCCAACCTAATTGGATTGCGGACTCGGGCGTCTCTCATCACATCACCTCTGATCTTCAAAACTTATCCATCCACAATAACTATGATGGAAATGAAGATATCATCATCGGTGATAGTAAAAGAATTCCTATTACTCATTCTGGTTCCTCAATGCTTAGTTCACTTACCACAACTTTTACACTCGATGATGTTCTGTGTGCACCTAACATTAAAAGAAACCTTATTTCCATTTCTTAATTCTGTAAACAAAATAATACCTCCATTGAATTCTTTCCTAACTTTTTTCTTGTCAAGGATTTGAGCACGGGGGCATCTTTAGTCTAGGGCCAGAACAAAGACAACATTTATGAGTGGCTATCCACTTCGTAAATTACCCTTCCTACTGCTCACTCTTCAGTAGTAGCTCCGGTTGATATATGGCATCATCGTCTTGGTCATCCCTCCCCTTTTATCCAGCAAAAATTACTTTCTCGTTATTCTCTTTCTACCTTGAAAATCAATAGCACTGTCACTCATTGTGATGCTTGTCTTTGCAATAAAAGTCATTAATTATCTTTTGGGACAACCTCTATTTCTTGCTCTAAACCATTTGAAATCATTTATACCGATGTGTGGGGCCTTGCCCCAATTCCTTCTTTTGACAA